GTTAAAATAAGATATGTTGTTATTTCTAGTAAATCTTACTGGAGGACTTTCTGATGATACCAGGACTGAAATGATGATACTTTATGGATATTTGTCTATAGATAATAGATGGGATATGGGGTAAAAGTTCATTGATTGTAAATTAGTAGAGGGTGAACAGTTACTAAAATTGTTTAGTCTTATGATAAGGATTGGAAATTATTTTTTTATCTTTTTGCTTTTTCTCTACTATATTTTTATCTTTCTATTTGCACCTTTCACTTTCTTTCTTTCTTTCTTTTTAGTTTAAACAGATTTTACTATTTTAATTTAAAGTCTTTAATTATACTTTTAAAAAGGAACCAGTCAAATTACACATCAATATTAAGAAAAGGAGACTTAGTAGCCCTTAATAAAAATGAGGAAACTGGGAAAAGTGCTATCAGATTTCTGATTGTTTTGCCACCACAGACCAATGCTGCTCTCCTCCTAATCCTATAAAGTGATTCAAATTGAGAGCATATGCTTCAAATAATTATCTACCAATTACAGGAATACTTTCCTGAATACTTTCCTGTGTTGTAGAATTGTTTTCATACCTGTCTTTCCCAGTTTCCTGCTTGAAGAGGTCATCAAAATGAAGCATTTTGTGTCGAGATATCATATATACTTTTAACTGAGGTAGTATTTGATTCATCAGTTGCAAATTATTATAAATTAATCCTTTTCCATCTCTTCTCATGTACATACTTGGGCCCCAGAAGATAAATACAGTTCCGTGACTCATATTTAATAGTTCATTGCGATTTCGCAAAATCCTCTGGATACTGGAATGAGCTATAACTCGCAAGGTTGTCTTGTTTCCAACATCTTTTCCAAATCCCCGTGTAGGTGCATCATTCATTCGTATTACACACTCCGTCTGATCGATCTTCTTCCCTTGATGGCTTCGCAAAAGGTGTCCAGAGCTTGTGACTAGAGCACAACTGGTGCAATGCATTTTCAAAGGCTGCAGAGAAATAAATGTCTCAATATACATCCAAATATAAATCTCAACACAAATTCCAATTGTCCAAAATTGTGGGGGAAATACTGCCAAGATAATGGTAGAAAAAGAACAAACTAAACCCAATGTCATTATGAAAAGTTCGTTCCCTTCATCTATCACGATATCTCAGAAATCTAGCAAGCCTGGCAAATTATTGTATTTTTCTTCAGCTAGGGAAGTATGAGAGAGCAGTTTCTGGTTTGCATGACTAAGGAGGGGATTTAAACTCACGGCCCCTGGTTTCTAGCCCAGTGCCTTAACCATTCGGCCAAATTGGTTGCAATAAATTTCAAAAGTTTTTAAAACTGTGAAACATGGCAATCTGATCCCCATTCCCTACTTATAAAATCACTTAACCACTGCGACAGACGTTGAATTTCAGCAAGGCTGTTTATTTTTCTTCAAAATAAAACTTGGTATCTGCAAAAATAATCTGTGGCGTGCCGTTATTTCTTTTCTCAATGAATTTATTCTATTCCATTTCACTTCCTTTTCTCTGGAGAACCAGCTCAAGTAAAGCAAGGAGAGAGGAGAGAAAGTAAATACATAATTTCAGAAGATTTGCAGGAGAGTTGAAGATCTGTTTCCTAGCCACACTCACATTCCCAGCACAGAAAGGAAAGAGAAGAGGCAGGAAGTGGAAGCTGCTTGGAATAAAGTTGTCAGATGGATTATCACAGGGGAATGAAAGAGAAGGGATAGTGAGAAGGTAAGAAAGGAGACAAACTGGGTGGCTGAATGACTAAACTTTGAGGCATGAGGCAGTGAGAATAGACCTACTGGATTTCATAATATATGAAGTATGATTGCATATGTTTTAAAAAATGTATACTTTGAATGGATGTCTGTAAAATGATTATTAGGGATGATGATGATAAGCCAGAAGAAGGGAAACATTTGGAAATTGTATAAACCTGTCAGGGAGATTTNTATATATAATCACATTAGTATTATCTTTAACACAAATATTAATACATTTCATCAAAATTACACACAGACACAAACACACACACAAGCACAATTTACAGTCTGAAGCAAAGTAAAACCAATCCTTATTTAAAAGAATCTAAGTACTTGCTGTAATGACCATTGGCTTACCTGAAGGGTCCTTTTCCGTGTGCTGCGGGAGAGTCCGAGCAAGGGTAAGGGTTAAATTCTGTCCTTCTGCCCAATGGACTGGATTGAAATTCTTGACCACGCTTCCTGGTCTCCCAGTATCATCAGTTTTTCAATGAAGGCATGGTCCCAAAAGGTAAGTCAATATCAAGTCAATGTCAAAGTTCCATCCTTCCAAACAACGTCCACAGACGAAAAGTAAGAACAACTCCGATGGAAAGGAGATAACTTCAGGGCGGGATTGGACTCTCCTGCAGTGCATGGAAAAGGACCCTTCAGGTAAGCCAGTGGTCATTTTCCCATGCGCTGCTTGGAGACTCCAAGCAAGGGACATACCCAAGGAAAGAAATGTCCAAAGGCGGGAACAACAAAGAGTAACAACCCAACCCTAATGCGTCTCAGAAACAACGGGCTGCAGCACTCTCCTGCCAAAGGCCGCATCTGTGGATGCAAATTTGTCCAGTTTGTAGTGTCTGACAAATAACGATGGGGACACCCAGGTCACCGCTTTGCAGATCTCCCCGACCGACACCTGAGTGGCCCAGGCCGCTGTCATGGCTGCGCTGCATGTGGAATGTGCCGTCACTCAAGAAAGAATAGGCCTGCCCTGTTGTTCGTAGGCCAGGGGGATACAAGCCTTGATCCATCTCCCAATGGTGGATGAGATGACCTTTCAACCCAACGAGGTCGGCTGAAAAATGACAAACAAGGCCTCCAACTGACGAAGAGGAGATGTGCGCCTGGTGTACCTCTTGACTGCCCTTCGAACATCGAGAAAGTGCCAACGACGCTTCCTCGGGTGATTTGGGCATGGGCAAAAGTCTGGGAGGACAACCTCCTGGGCACTGTGAAAATATGAATTAATTTTTGGTACAAACAATAGATTGAGACAGAGGACAACTCTGGGTGGATGGTACGCAAATTGCCCTGGACCGATAGAGCCGCAATTTCTGAAATCCTGCGGGCTGAAATAATGGCAACAAGGAAGGCAGTTTTAAGAGACAGGGGTCGTAAGGACGCATGACGTAATGGCTCAAGGGGAGGCCAGTGAGCGCCCTGAACAGAGTGGCAAGATCTCAGGAAGAATAACGATGGACAACCTGGGGACTCAGGTTGGAGGTGCCACGAAGGAAGCTGCGTACTTCCGGGTGCCTGCTGAGTGGCTGATGGTTGCCATAGGCAAGCACCATGGACAAGGCTGCTACTTGGTATCGTAAGGTGTTAGCGGCTAGACCCCTATCAAAGCCCTCTTGTAGAAAATCTAGGATTTGAGGCGGGGGGAAGCTGCTGTTGGTTGAAGATGGCATGTTGTGCACTAGCTAGCAAAGATGGTCCAGGTGGCATCATAGATCTGCGAGGTGGAGGCTTGGATGGTGTTGATCAACTTGGTAGAATAGTTGGCTCTCCTCAGGAGGTCCCTCTCAAGTGCCATACGGTTAGCTTGAGCCACTGGGGCTCCAGATGCGTGGTTACGGCTCCCTGGCTGAGAGGGACCGACTCCTGAGGAATCCTCCAGGGATGTGTAATGGACAGGTACGTCAGATCGGCAAACCAAGTCCATTGGAGCCAGTATGGATCAGGGCTGACTGGGATTGGCGCTGCCGCAGGATCCTTTGCGCAACATCCACCACCCCATCCCCACCCTGATCCCAGGTGGTCGGGCACTGCTACTGCTGCTGTATCTGCATTGCCCCATTGGATTCAGGGGCTTTTGCCCTCGTACGCACTTTTCAGCCAGCGGAGCCCCATGCGGACCTCTTTGGTGTGCTGGTCTTCTTGGAGCAGCATGCCATCCGAATCAACTTGGCTTATGGCATCCTCCACAGTCCGCTCTGTGCCGTCGAGTTGCTGGCAGGCAGCGATGCAGAGACTGAGGGAAGGGGGGCCAGGTAGAAAACCTGTTCTCTACTTGTGGGCCAGAAAGAGAAGCTGCCTGTGAGGGAGCCCAGAGAACAAAATAAAAGTGCTCTGGGGATTTCCCCACCAAAAACAAAAAAAAGACCACCCGCTCATCACTTTGGATCTTGTGGCTTTTTTGGGGTTTTTCTTAAAACAAGAGTCTAATTGAGTCTAACTGTGGTTGATGGGCTTTGCCTTGGAATTGGGGGGGTAGGTCCAAATAGTGGCCACTGCGAGTATCTCTCAGCCGTTGTGTGCAGGGGAAAAACCTTGCACAGTAAAGAAAACCTCATGAGTCTGAGGCAATTGACAGCTTCTCAAACTTGGGAAATTTTTCTTTACTGTGCAAGATTTTNGTCTAACATAAAGTGACAGCAGTATAGACATAAGAAATGTAAAAAGCTTAAAAAACATTTGAGTTATTAAGTCCATGTGCCTTACAGTAAGAGATATCCATAAAACTCTTAATAGCTTTGTCAACTATGATGTCAGATTTTATAGCAGAAACTCGAATGTCAAGTAAGCATTCAGTCTTAAGGGAGAAATGTTCTTGTGCCCCACAGAAAAGAGCGCTACTGTGTTCTGGAGTTAACTTCACTTTGTTTTAGTAACATGGGTCATGGAAACTGGAAGTATTTAAAGAATAATGGAACATACAATAAAGATTGAAAGGGACTTATGTAAGCCAAGCCTCTACCTAGAACAGAGTTCATTGTTATAGCCTCTCATACAAGACAGTCTACCACCTCCTGGTGTAATCTACTCCATGGTTGAGCTCTCATTGCAAGAGACATTTTTTATGTTTTCTATGTTCAACAAATATCTATTTTTTTGCAGCTGAAATCAATTCTTTTTCGTTCCATCATTTAGAACCCCAAATAATTCTTTCCTGTCTGTGTGACAGCTTTTCAAATCTTTAAGGAAAATCTGATTTTCTCCAGCTATAATATCCAATTCTTACAAACATTTCTTTTATTTTTTTTCCTTCTAGGCCAAACTCATTATTTGGTTGTTCCCATTTGGATGTATAACATATAATCTTGTTGGTGACCTAAAATACAGTGCCTAGATCTGAATGCAGTATTCTGAATGTGATCTGACCAACACAGAACATAGAAGAACAATTACTTTAAGCGCTTAAGTGAAATGAAGTTATGGAACTCTTTTTTAATAGCTGTAATGGGCAGAAGGAGTTAACTTTGAAGTAGAGTAGGAAGAGGTGTCATCAAGCCAATGGGCAGAAGTGTAGTTTGAAAAAAAAAACCATCTCAGACATGATCATCCTAGTTCCCTTGAACATAAAAGAGGAGGAGGGAAAAGCACATTCAGACATGCAAGATTTTACTACCTTATAATAAAAGTAGTGCTAGTTTGTGTGTCTTAGATTTCCAAGTATGGTCTATTTTGGAGGGCTGACAATAACCATTCATATATGAAACAAAATTTTAGAGCATTTTCAGGGTCATTTAGTTTTATGTATTACTTACATTTTGTGGAAAGTATGGTTTGATGCAAAGAATTCATTAATATATATATATATATATATATATATATAT